TTCCTTTACCCCCGTTTCATTTGTTCTAGAACTTCAATGTTTGTCTCCCTCCCGAGCGTCTCCCCACACCCTCTTCTGAATTTACAGGACAATCAGACCACCCTTTGCTTGTGTTCTACACACACACAGCCAGGTATTTTATTCTCTTCTGGTCCCATTCCCCTGAGTCTCCCACCAGATCTTCTCCACACCAGAGCCTGCCCAGGTCCCTCTTTCTGGGTCAGGTCTGCCCAGAACTGGCCACCTTGGGGTTGGCTTCTCTTTTTGGCCAGATGCCTCCTGTTGGTCACCGATGGTCCTCGTCAGATGTAGTGACATCCTCAGGTCTCCCTCCTCCTCTATCACTCCTGGAGGATGGTTCCCAACTCAGAGCAGCAAGGGTTTATGGGTCCCTATGGACCTGGGTTCATGTGAAATTTCATCCTGTTTCCACTGCTGCCTTGTGCTAGGCCACTAACTCTAGAGATGTCTCTTTGGAGATAATCACTGAGCTAGGCTGTCTGGCTGGGCTGCATCTCCCAGGATGCACCGGGGCTCCCTTTTTGGGGAACTGGCACATGAGGCCCATATTGGTCTCTATCAGCTCTCTTTCCTGCACTTCTAGTGGCTCCGGATGTGGGGATATGTACCTCAAAAGCTGCCTTCTTGACGAGGGGGCTTCCGGCACACAGCATGAGGGAGGGGTCGTAATGCCAGTACCGGTCCTTGCACACATTGTCGGACACCACCTCCTGCTCCGCTTCCTGCAGAACGTCAGTTCTGGTGTTTGCTCCAGTCCGACCCCACCCGGCCACGCTGCACTTGGAGCCCGGGACCACAGGGACATCGGCCTCTGGTAGAGGGATGGTCCCGACCCATTCGTTCAGCTCCGCACTGTGTCTCATCTGCCGTGGGTGAGAGAGAGTGAATGGACCTGGACCAGAGCAGGGATAACATCTGGGAAGGGGTAGCAACAGCCAACCAGAGCATAGGACTGTGTGTCCAGGGGATGAGTGTGAAGTCACTGGGGGTGGGGGATGGGATGGGGGCGGTACCTGCAGCAGTGTGAGGTCACTGGGGGTGGGGGATGGGATTGGGGTGGTGCCGGAGCAGCGCGAGGTCACTGGGGGTAGTACCTTCAGCAGCATGATGTCATTGTCTAAATTCTCGTTGTTGAAGTCGGGGTGCTGGACCCAGCGACGGACCTGGATCCGTTGCCAGTCCTGTCCTGGCTTCATGAAATCATGAACTCCGAGGTAGACAAAGAAGTCGCTGGAAAATCCAAGGGGAGAATATTGGGGGTGTTACGTCCCACTGGACATAGGGTTGGCATTGTCACAGTCCCTTAGAAATGGCCTTGCTCTTGGCCTGTGAAAATTTCTACCTCCTTTTGGGCAACTGAAGAAGACAAAGACCATCAGATTGACCTGTGTGTGTCTTTGGACTTCTCCTCCTCTCCAAAGAGACCTGAAAATACTGACCGGTAGACTGCTCCCCCATGTGGGTGACCTGTTGTCCATTTCTGTTATTGATGGTTCAAGAGAGATGCTGATAAATTGGAGAGGACGCAAAGGTGAGCCAAGAGATTGATCAAAAGATTGGAAAACCCGCCTGATACTGAGAAACTCTAGAGCAGATGGCTTCACAACCAGTGTGACTAGGAATCCATTGGTTTTTCTGTCAGTCATGTTTTCCTGTACGAATTTTTCACAGGAATAGAAACTATCCATGGGAACAATTTACCAATGACCCTGGTCGATTCTCCATCTCTGGCAGTTTTGAACCCAGATTCGATTTTGAAGGATCTGCTGTAGATAAAAATGACATGTTCCCAGCTCTGCGTGATGCAGGAGGTCATGCAGAATGATCAAAATAATCTTGGAATCTGTAAATCATTGATGTGCATATGGCAGAGGGAGGAAAACGTCCATGGAAAAATAAAAATGTTAAGTCACAGCTGGTGTGTTATCGGTAAGCATTTGTTTCAAACCGGGGATCTCAGACAAGGAGGCTGGGCCGAGACAGAAATCAGGGTGTGTGAATGCGTGAAACATACAAATTAAGAAGATGGAAGAGGTTTTTTTAATGCACCACTGCCATCTCTTGGCGATGGACAGCAACAACAGGAAGCTCTGATCTGCCAGTTCAAAGGATCTCTGGAGAGGCTTCCTTATGTGGTTTGCTGGATCCATCAGAGAAGATGTCAAAGACCAGAAAGCAGCCCTGACACTTGGCCCAGCTCCCCTGGACAGACGGTTCCCTCCTCCAGGGTTAGCAGTTCATGAGAAGAAGCGAAGAGAGATCAGCTGGATATGAGTCAACAGGGCGCCCTTGTAGCCAAGAAGGCTAATGGCGTATTAGGTTGCATTAAGAGGAGCATTGCCAGCAGACCCAGAGATGTCATTATTCCCCTTGATTGGGCTCTGAGGAGGCCACGTGGAGTATTGTGTCCAGTTCTGGGCCCCCCACTACAAAAAGGGCAATTTTCATGTCCCATAAAGGTGTCGTACGTGGAGCAGCTCTGATCCCGCCTCCAAGTTGGGGCTTGGCTGTCTCATTGGGGGTGGGAAATGGATCCCTCCCAAGGCACCAACTTTGGGCCAGCCCCAAGCCTGGGGGCAGGGTTGGCTCGGGGCAGGGGTGAGGGGATGGGACTTGGCGCGGGTCCTTTCGGGGGGGCACCAGGAGAGGCTGGGGGGTCTTAGCCCAGGCTGCAGCTGCAATGAGCCGCCGTCAGCACCACGTCCTCCCGGATCAGGATGCCCCCGCAGCTCCCCGCAGAGCCGATTTGCACGTAGGCCATGTAGGGTCTGGAGGAGGGCAAGGCTTCCTTACCCCCGATGACCCGAGCTGGGGAGAGACAGGGAGGGGGGCAAACAGGAGGGGGGGATCAATATCCCAGGGGAACTCAGACCCGCCTCCCTCAGCCCTGTCCCCATC